TAATTGGCTATTGACAATTTCCAGAATAATTGTTCAAATATCCGTTAAGTTTATTTGTCCTGGTTCGTGTCTGTTAGGTTGGGAAGGATTTGTGGTAGGTGCATTTAAGATTGGTTGTTGGGCAAACTTTTTGGGATTTGCCATTGTACTTAACAGATTATTTTATTCAAATGTAATTTAAGAATTTTCACACAGAGATTGTGTTTTTGATTTTTTTTTACTTTAAGATTTGTTTTTTTTTTTTTCAACAAGGAGATTGAAATTGTTTTTATTTTAATTATATAGTGCTTCCATTTTTCAAAAAAGTCCACAAATATTCTCCTCCCCGTATGTTTTGGATTATATACGGTATATTTTATGTATATTTGTAATTTATTGTAAATATGAGTGATAACTTACGATAGTGTCAGCAAGGACAAAAATGTCATCATGGTGGGTATTTCTATTGCAAGGCTGTTATTAGTAGCAGGTTGCGGGGCTTAAAAATACTGTAAAATCCACAATCAGCTCTTTTTAAGTTCTTTGTTCTATAGACTTGTTTTTTTTTTCTTTTAAATAACACATTTTTTGTTTAACAGAATGTTACTAATTTCACTTGGGTTTTTTCACAATCTTCTATAAGTTATACTTAAAAAAAATTCTTAGTATTTTGATTATTTATTCGCAGTTGAATCGGTTTGTGTGCACGCGTACTTTTTCTTAATTTTTACTAAAGGGCATTTTCTTTACACTTTACGCGACACTGATTTGCTCGTGCGCCAGTTAGACCTTTGTTCGTTAAGGTCTTAAAAAAAATTGAGATCAACTTGATCCTCACGCGACACTTTATCGAAAGAACCGCGGGCTCCTTTTAATCTTGTAAGTTTCAATTGTCGAAATTGAAGTTACTGCTGTCTTTTATTAAAAAACTTTTTTTATTTATTGAAATCATCATTATTGTTTTGCGGCTGATCAAAGAGTGATTAAAATCTATATTATAATTTTTAAATGAGAATTCAATACTCAAACTAATTCGCTTACTTAAAAAATTTATTTTCCATTAAATCATGCACTCTGCAGCAATGCGATGTGATGACATCTGCCAGTACCTTTTTCTTTGTATATATTATTACGTTTTTGTTTGCCCATCTAGTTGGGCAAATTGTTGTTGATGGTCTATTGTCACTTCTATAATCGTCATTATTGTATTACGGTCGGGCCAGCCCTACTCCACTATGCATATTTATTAAAGCAACCCGTAACAAATAAACATTTGCATTAGGAATTTATGTGAAGTTTAAAACAGTAATAATATGAAATCAAAAGGAACTAATATATGGAGATATAATCTACTCCAATCACTTCCCACTTATAGATTCCATGATATAACTTTGAGATAACATATATATCGAGCTACAGCTATATCTGAAGTGATTTTTCACGTATCACGTCGTATCTGTTTCTAGGCTAAATGCGGTGGAAAATCCATCCTATTTGGGGTGATATTATACATTTGGTGCACAATAAAATGAAATCGAATGAAGATATACATGCGACCTATATCCACATCTGAAGACCTAAGGGAGACTTAAATACCAAATTAGATGACCCATATATATGGGAGCTTTACCTATATCCGAACTGATTTCCATACTTTATTTTGGGCTGAATTCGATTGTGTGCACCAATTTCCATCGTATTTGAACTAATTTTTCACATTTGGCGCACAATAGATTAAAAATCGGTCGAAGATGTGTATTGGGGATTTCTCTAAATTTAGACTGATAATCACCAATTTCAATAGGGACAAACTAACTTCCTTGTGCAAAACAAATTGTTTATAGAAAAATTCCTCTCAAACTAGCAATGAGTTTCTACAAGAGTACATGGTTAGTCGGACGGACATGAATGCAGATTATCATTCTATGGAGATTATCGAACTGCGGTCTATATAGTTTTCCTTGAACGTTGATCGGAAAAGACAGTTTTTCCAAAACTTATATTTTTAGGTTTAATTAGGGACTAGAGCTCTTTTAGCGGATCGATCTGAAAATTTTAGTTCAGGTACTCTTGAAGTTTAGAGTACAACGGCATACTTTTTTTTTCTCGGGGAAGACCATACTTCGAGAATTAAGGGTCTCTTAATTTCTTTTATTGCGTAGTGAATTCGCAGTGTTTATAAGACCAACCAATATGGTTATTAAAGTGAAGCTCTACCGCCCCTGATAACAAATTCCGGCTACTTACTACAACATGATATTTTAATAGGAGATTTATTCGAGTGAAATTTTCACATTTATCAAGTAGGTTTTGTCGTATATTACCTGTGGATGTGGATATGTTCAAGGTACTATGGATATATACTGGGTACAATAAATATGAACGAGTAAAATGGTAGTTGAGTTTGGCCAGTGCGAGTTTTATGCTCTACACCTTTGAAAGTGTAGATAAAATCGTCAAAATACCGCATATAGGGCTATATTCACAGAGGGGCTTATTGAAACGTTGGCCAATATAGAATATCTTCAAAATTTACCTGACTGCAGAAAAATTCAGTTTTCTGTCACATGCCGTTTGGATCGCCTTAAAATCATACTCTTACCAAGAATGTATATAATTTGTTGGGTATAAAACGACTTAATATAACCATCATACTGTATACGGTGGAGGGTATCAAAACACAACTCTGATTATATAAAAACACAACTCTCATAGTGAAAAAAAAAGTCTGGGGGTATAAAACACAACTTCAAATTTACTATCAAATGAATCATATTGTTTTGATTAATAACACATTTCTTTTAATAATTTGATTTAATAACATTTATAATATATCACACATGTATATACTTTGCTTTTACTTCTTCTTAATTCTTTTTCTACATGTACAAAAGCAGTTGTAATAAAGTTATGTAATATACATAAATATAACTTGTCAATTCATATTTTATTTGTCTCAAAATTGTGCGATATGGCGTTTATAACATTTTATTTTAGAATTTACAAAATATTGTAAGTTGTGCTATTTGGAATAGTGTCTTCACTGCTCGCTTTGATACAGACGGAATAGAGTCACAACAAAGGACTTTTAATACATTCAACCAGCAGAACTAACTCATCACAAATATTTTATTTAAAAAAGTCCAAATAAAAATGGTTTGAAGAGGAACTAAAATTTTAAGTCTAACAAGTAAAAAAGCTGTAATTTCGGCGGGCCGAACTTTTAATACCCTCCACCATTTGGTACAAATTTGGCAATTTCCAAAAAATAAAATCCGTTAAAAATTCTGTTAAAATCTTAAGAATACCGAATTCTTCTACGACGACGTGGACCTGCATAGGCAACTTTTGTCATAAGTTATTACAACATTTAAATGCGAAACTTGAAGAAAAATCAATTTATAATGTAGCTAAAATCATTAAAATACCGAATATGGGGGGTACCGTTATATGGGGGCTATACGAAGATGTGGACCTGCACAGATAATTTTCTGTCTTAGGCTGTAGTATTTATTACGAACTTCAAATGCCAAATTTGAATTAATTCCGGTGAAGAAAAATCAATTTATAATGTAGCTAAAATCATTAAAATACCGAATATGGGGGGTACCGTTATATGGGGGCTATACGAAGATGTGGACCTGCACAGATAATTTTCTGTCTTAGGCTGTAGTATTTATTACGAACTTCAAATGCCAAATTTGAATTAATTCCGGTGAATAATGTCGCTAAAATCATCAAAATACTGAGTATCGGGAGGTACAGTTATATGGGGGCTATATGATAACTTGGACCTACATGGCCCATTTACGAACTTAACCTGCCTACTGGCAAAATATACATGTGTGCAAAATTTTAGCCTTCTCTCTCAATTTGTTCTAAAGATAGCGTGATTATAAAAGACAGACAGATAGACAGACGGACAGACAGACAGACGGACATGGCTAAATCGTCTTAGAATTTTACGCTGATCAAGAATATATATACTTTGTTGGGTCTGACATGAGTATTTCGAGGAGTTACAAACGGAATGACAAAATTAATATACCCTCCATAGTATGGTGGAGGGTATAAAAATGGAGGGAATAAAAATAAATTGAATAATTTAACTTTAATGTACGTTTAAAACATGCTTTACGCAATCCAGTAATTACAAGTGTACATGAATGCACCATTTTTTCTTATGGTGTGCCATAACTTTATGTCCACCACTGTGGGTTCTATTTATTTTGGACACCACTGTAGCGGAGCGGTATGCATTTGATACATACACACAAATAAGTAAACAAGCGGGAGAATATTGTTTAATAGTTAAGTTAAAACACCCTTCACCAATTACAACTTGAAACATTAAAAAAAATCCGAAAGTACCGTTTAAATGATGACCTTTATACGTTGGCTATACGAAGACCTGAACTTCATAAGTAATTTTTTGTCATAGGCTGTAGTACCCATTAAGCTCTTCAAATATAAAAATTTGAATCAATTCCGGCAGATAATGTCGCTAAAATCATCGAAATCAAGGGAGATACTGTCAAATGAGTGCTATACGAAGACGTGGAACTGCATACGATTTTTTTTTCGTAAGCTGTACTACCCGCTACGAACTTCGAATACGAAATTTAAAAACAATTCCGGTGTCGCTACAATCATCAAAATACCTAATATCGGAGGGTGCCGTTATATGGGGACTACACGAAAGTGTGGGCCGCCATGGTCCATTTACGTGCAAAATGTAAGCCTTCTAACTCAATACGTTCGAAAGATAGCTTGATTACAACAGACAGACGGACATCGCTACATCATCTTATGACTTTACGCTGATCCAGAATAAATAGACTTTGCAGGTTCTATCTTGAATATTTTCATAGAATGGTGGAGGGTATAAAAAGGTTGGCTGTTATGTTGCAATTTTTTTTTATTATGATTCGAAGTTTGCAAGTTTAAAGATCACCACGTACTAACACCCCATGGAGATAAAGTGAAAACCGCAAATAGTGCTAAATAACCTAAATACTTACCGTGAAATTAATCTGTAGCAAGTAACAAAGCAGCTAAGTTTTGCCAGGTCGAACTTTTCATACCCTCCACCAATCGAAAGGATCTTAACAAAAAAATACTTCGAACAATACCGCTCATATGAAAACTTGTATATGGGGAATATACGAAGACGTGGTACTGGATAAGTAATTTTTTTCATAGGCTGTAGTAACGATTCCGAACTTCAAATACGAAATTCGAAACAATCCCTGTGAATAATTTCGTCAATATCATCAAAATACTGAAGAAAGGGAGGTATCGTTGTATGGGGGCTAAACGAAGACGTGGACCTGCATAGACAATTTTCCATCATAGGTTGTAGTACCCATTACGAACTTCAAATACGAAATCTGACACAATTTCGGTGAATAATGTTGCAAATATCCTGGACATACTGAATATTTCGGTGTAGTGTTATATGCGTTCTATATTAAAACGTAGACCTATATAGAAAATTCTCCTCCAGGGTGTAAAGCATGCAGAATATCGGGGGGCAACATTGTATGGGGTTATATGATATCGTGGAAATTCTCTTCCAGGGGGAAAAGTTCTCACAGATAGCTCCTTGTGTAGAATTTCAGACAATGCCATTAAGAAATGTGACTAACACCATCAAAATACCGAGTGTCGGGAGGACAATTCTTTTCAGGGGGCAAAGTAGTCAGGAAGAACTCCTTGTGTACAATTTCCGACAATTCCATTGGGAAATGTGGTTAAAATCATGAAAATACCGAATATCAGGGATTCTGTTATATGGGGGCTATACGATATCGTGGATCGGTATAGCACATTTTCGAACTTGACCTGCCTGCAGATAAAAGACAGATCAGTATAGTGCAGTCAGATCAGTTCCTATCTTTATTCGTTTTGACTCTAGCGTGATTACAACAGACTAAAGGAGGGACAGTGCTAAATCCTCTCAGTATTTTACGCTAATCAAGAATATACATAATTTGTTGGGTCTAAAATTGTTACTTCGATGAATTATAAAAGGAATGACGAATTTAAAATAACCTGTATACTATGTATGAACCTATGTGAACCTGCATGCGAAATTTTTAAATACGAAATTTGTTACAATTCCGGTGAACAATGTCGCAAAAATCGGGAGATACCGTTATATGGGGGCTATGCGAAGACGTGGATATGTATGCATGTATGCAACATTTTTAGCCTTCAATTTCAATGCGTTCGAAAGATGGCGTGATTACAACAGACAGACGGTCTACTAAGACTCTGGGTATCAGATGGAACATCTCAGGAGATTGTTCAAACATACAAGGAATGAAGTCTTATCTGCAATTGGCAAATTATTCTTGTTGGCCAGTACCAAGTTAACATGCATGCAATAAGGTTGGACAAAATCAATGGGATGACACTCTCAAACTTATAACTTTAATAAATTGGCAGAATTTCGTTAAGGAAACTGAAAATTAATACACACTCTTACAACTCCCAGATGTATTAAATACATTCTAAGCCATCAAATTCAGATTCATGGTTTTTGTGATGCTTCAGACACCGCATTCGGCGCTGCCTTGTACAGTGTTGAATCATTTCACTTCGCGGCTAAGACTAGGGTCGCCCCTAATTAATCCATTACATAATTACAAACATTCAAATTTCGAAAATTGAGTCTAGCTGTCTTACTATTGGGTATGGAGCACATTTGTAGGAAACAGAATTTCAGAAATTATAGAAAATGTTGGAGATGGTTGATGGCGTCATGTTGACTCTGAGGCTGATGTCGCAAGTCGTTGATGCTCACCGATCAATTTTTAAACACATAATTTGTGGTGGCATGTATCACAATGTTTAAAATACCAAAAAAGTAGTTGGCCTTTGAATTACATTCCGATAGACACCAATTTAGAAAAGAAACCATCTAAAGTATTGAAAATTACAACCATTACTGGTAATGCCAAAAAGACCTTATAAACAAAGACCCTTAAAAAAATGACTCACAATTACACTGTGCCTACAGAGTGTATGTTTTTGTTATGCACTATTCCAATCGACACTTAAAAGCTAGTCCCTATGTTTCTCAAGAAGAGACTCGATATGTTAAACGTCTAGTTATCATTGTTGCCCAGAAATACTATTTTGAAAGTGAATGACGGGCTGACTTTGAAGGAGCTTTTAATGTAAGAAACTTCACAGTTCGTGTTTGTCTTATTACAAAAGGATACGTGCGCGTTTTTTATGTTTCAATACCAAGGAAATTCACTTAGAAGCAACCAGCGATCTTTCCATAGAATCTTTTTAGCAGCCTTCGCTAGATTCATAGGTCGAAGAGTGTGTCCCTCCTGTATATATTCAGACAACTGCACCAACCTTATAGGTGCCACTAAATATCTAAAAAGGCACAAAGCAGAACTCTTTAAAAAAATTTATACTCAAGCCTTTGTCAAAATGTCCATCAAACTTCAAAGACACAAATGAAGTTCACTTAGATATTCATATTTCCATGTTATTATGTTAAGGGAGTAATTTCTCTAGGGTCTTCACTAGCAGAGCTCAAGGTTATTGAACTTAGACAAGCTTCTTTAGGAATCAATATTGTTGTGAACTCTTGAAAAGTGAAATTAAGACTTGTAAAGCTTTTCCGTAAATGAGTTTTTAAGGATTCAACGTCGACCTCCCATGTGCGGAGCGCCAGGAGGAATAAATTTCTGATCTAAGGTTTGATGGATATTTTGGTTAAGGCTTGAGTATAAATTTTTTAAAGAGTTCTGCTTTGTGCCTTTTTAGAGATTTAGTGGCACCTATACATTTGGTGCAGTTGTCTGAATGTATACAGAAGGGACATACTCTTCGACCTAAGAATCGAGCGAAGGCTGCTAAAAAGATTGCATAGAAGATCGCTGGTTGCTTCTAAGTGAATTTCCTTGGTATCGAAACATAAAAAACGCACACGTATCCTTCGAAGACACAAATGGAAACATCAAATAGACAATTTAAAGGATGGTGACCTGGTGGTCATAAAAGATGACCGGGGTGGAGGCTGGTCGGGGTCAAAACTTACCAGGGGTTTATAATAGCTTTAGAGTTGTAGACATCAAAACTTACCTTGGGACTGACAAGTTGGACCCCCTTTAGTTAAAAAATTTAGTTATTCCTTCTCTCTTTTTATTACAGAAATTGTGACATACCTCCCAAACGAAGAAGATGCGGAAGTGTGACCCCCAAATTGGCGTCAGCAACATAAATCGCCCACAACAACAGCAAATAACACCAAATAGGCGTAACAATCAACAGCCACAACATCATAAGGAACGTTAAAGGCAAGATCGTCAAGAACAACGACGAGAATCAAGATGCGGATCTGGGCAGTGAGAAAGCGGTCGAGTTTCTGACGATATGCATGCAGACTCTGTCAGGAAGACCACTCCATTATGACATGCCCCAGGTTTTGAGAGCAGTCTGCATTTCAACGCTATGAGACTGTTAAGCGGGGAGGGTGCTGCTGAAACTGCCTAGCACGTAGCCACCTAGCGCCCGCCTGCACGAGTCTGATGGGCTGTCGCAGGGGCGATATAGGCACCACACCTTGACATTCTACAGTCGGCAGCCATAGTTGTGCAACCTTTTGCTTAGGACTTAGTATTCGTCCTCACTGCCATGGTGCGTGTCGCAGCCGAGGTCATAGACGAGTGGAAGACTGTAGGAGCGCTCATATACAAATGACAAACCCCTACTCCGAACCTCTACTATATGACACAACATTGTTTCTAAATTTGATTAAAATTTCGTCTCTTCGTAGAGTTAAGCCTTAGAACGATGAAGAAGGTCATAAAATTGCATCTAAGGCTTAACTCTACGAAGAGACGAAATTTTAATCAGCTGGTTTGTTAATTATTACTGTGTCTGTTTCCACATTTTTGATTAATTTCCCAAAAGAAAATTTTTGTTTTAGTTTAAATTTTTTTGAAAAATCAATTGTTGTTCCTTGGTAATGGAATCAGTTGAGAGCGGCTGGACTGATTTGCAAAAAGAAAATATTGACCACGCCTGCTTTTTCGCCAACCATTATCTAAAATCTTTATATTTGCCAAATAATGAAGATATCGGGTTGAAATTTATTTCTCGAGATACTGTTGACTTTCCATCCAGCCCTATGTATTTATTTTGGTGCTGAGGAACTGACCACACCTACTTTTAAATCTATATGTATTAAAACCAAATGTCGCTCGTTAGTAGATGAATCAGTTTAAACCGGCTGGACCGATTTAAATATTTTTTACAAATGTTTGTCCTACCCCGAGTTAGGTTTTTATGCAAATAAAAATTGACCACTCCCACTTTTACGCCCATTTTTTTCGATTTACTGAAAAACCTTATATTTTCCAATATAATAAAGATATCTGTCCTCCAATATAATATAAAGATACTATAAACAATTATAGTTACACATCTACTGAGAACGGCTGGTCCGATGTGACTCAAATATTGTTTCGCTTATTTGTGATTGGATTATTGGAAAGTCGAGAAACTGATTAAATCGAAAGTTGTTTTTTGATATAGAATTTTGTGTATAATTGTTTCAGAATACCATTGAATGAATGAATGCCCTTCTTATTGCAAAATTCCGAACAAATCGCGAAATTTTTAAGCATAGTTAATAGTTATTTCCGGTATAGACTTAATAACACTGAAAACTTTAAATGTCAATTTACAATTCATTCGGTAGAAATTGTAACAAAAACATGCAGAAGGACGAATGTTTAGTAGTAGTATCATAACTAAATGAGACGGCATATTCCAATCATCCTAGAAATATTGTATTAATTTTCAAAGATTAACCTAAATATTGCGCATTAATTGCGATTGCGGACGGCTGCACACACACGCCGATATTGTTTAATTTACATAGAATATTATCCTGATCAAGAATACATACGACAAAGAGGGCAAAACAATATACTTTATAACATGTTCTTCTAACATAGGCCATATGCATTTTTAAATTCCAAATAGTCCATAGCAGTGTGCACATGTATGTACGCCGATGATGTACAAATATTCCTAAGCACTCATGTGAATCATGCAAGACAATCTGTACTT